ATTAATATGTATCAAAAATTTCAATTTTTTAAAAAATGTCTCAGAACCCCATTTTCCTAGCAAACTTCCCATATAATCAGTGTAATAGAAACCGAACTATACTAATATAACTCACATTTGAGTTTACATAGAGTTTATATGTAAACTTTGCCAAAAGTTGCTTATTTTTATAAATTTACTTATGCTACATACCCAATTATCTCGATATCCAGTAATTCAATTTTAATGATATTTATACCATTGGATTTTTCTAACTGAGAGAAATCGAATGGTAGTAATTTCATCTTTCTAGCATTAATATTGACCGAGTTATACCATACAATATAATTTTAATTGCGTGTTCGTATTTCATTTGTGAGTTCTTTTAGTATAGTTCAGGGTTATAGTGTAATCTGATACACATTTCATATTTGCTTGTACTAGCAGTAATTATAACATGCACACCTCTAATGTATGCTAAGTTACACTGATTATATAGCAGAACAAGTAAAAATACACTTACATATATAATTTTTAAGTTTAAATATAAGTTTATTAAGATTTGGAAAAAATTTTATAAAAAGTTATATGTGACGCATTGACGACCATTGATTGATCATTTCTAAAAATGTAATTTAAAGTACTATATATCTGGTATAACTTGTCACATATTAAAGTTATGCTTATAATAACGTACTCAATAATTGTTACACTAATTTTTGAACAATTATAATGATTAATAATGTAACCATTACACAATGAATAAACAAAGATTTATAAGCGATAGAAATAAAGTATAAAAAGATATTTGTTTTCTAATTACATATTAATAAGTTCCTAAGAAAGTTCATCTTTATAATAATAAACGCTACTTTATAATTAAATACTTTTATCGTAGAGAAATAAAAATGAAAAATCAATAATGAAAGTAACGTCGATGTCATTCGTCCGCTCGGTCTTCTTGAAAATAACTTATGATATAGAACATTATTACAATATTGATCTCTTGATTCATTATAAAGTTTCCTTAAATTTTCTTTCGTTTCTACACTACTCTAATTCCTACTAAAACAAAGGATGCAATTTTAAAAATTTCTTTACCAAACACTTGAACGAATGATATCAAAACAACAAGCATTAGCGATCATATTTGCAGATTTATACAGTTCAAATTAAACAGAATAGTAAGATTTTCGGTAGGTAATAATGATAAAGATATTGAAAAATTATTGAAAGAAGAACATAATAAGAAATTTGATGTAGAGGATCAAACATCACTATTATGAAGAATTGTTGTCAGAATTAAAAGCATATGCAATGAGCGAGAAATCTCTAATTCTAATGATTGGAATTTATTTTAGAAATATATTGGCATAATACTATTGAAGATAGAAGAAATGCCCTAGTAATGTATAACTCATTTCATGAATCTTTCTTAAAAATATTAAGTGAGAATTCTGACTATACTAAAGAACCTACAACTAAATTTAAACTTCTACAACATTCTACAATTCCACTTAGTAAACTGATCAAAGAATGTCTTAAATTCAAATTTACATTAGCATAAACTGTTAAAGAATTGCTTATATTTTACCTTTTGCCAACATTTTTCGTGAAAAAACAATTAAAAGGTTGTTAGTTAGGCGATAATCCTTCATTTTCTTTTATAAAAAATAACACCAAAACACTTTTTTACTCTATTACAGCTGAAGAATTAAATACATTACTCAAATAACATAAAACTATTCTATCTTTAACATTGCGTTAGTTTTCTTCACATATCATCATTTAATACTTGGTAGCAATCAAGATAATAACAATTTATTAAAAAATGTGCAGGAACTAGTCTCATTCGATACTTTTAATTATTTTGTATTTATTTATTATTTAATTATTTGTTAAATTTATAATTTATAATTTATTTTTTAATTATGTATATATTAACTAGAAGTTGCGATATGCAGGAAACTTTGTCTCACATTAAGCGTCAGATTAAATATCTTATATTTATATAAATAAATTTATATTTATAATCAATAAATATTCGTATTTATGTTATAGCCCAAATGTCACCTTGTCCCAAGTTAAACTTGGGATATCCCAAATCGGAATTCCTATTTCAGACTTCTCAAACTCCAATTTCTGATTTGGGATGA